TACGTAACTTACCTTACGTTACGTACGTACGTACTACAGTACTATACTATATATATATATATATATATATATATATATATATATATATATATATATATATATACACATGACAGCAGTCTCGAACATTCCACATACTACTAGACATTATAATGCAACAATACTCAATTAGAGCAATGAGAAAAATTCAGGAGGTTTTAGTAACATGACGTCAAATCACAACAGTTGAACTACACATCATATGATTCATACACAGTTACATAAACAATCCTGAAATAAACTATTGATTCTAAAAATAACTAAATTTAACACTTGTGCTATATTTAAACCATCTAAATCATAATACTTGTATTAACTTAAACAATTTTGTATATCTAACACTCATGACATAATTGTTGGAGGCATCTCACACTCACCAGTGAAAGTGGTGAAGGTCTACAAGAATATAGAAAAAGTCAAGTACATAAATCGAAAGAGTTTGACCTCCTGAGTCCAAACTGTAATTAGATCTCAAATCAGTCAAGAGATGACAGAGTTATGAGCTAAAAGTTTGTACTTGAAAATAAACTCTATGTGTTAAAAACTCAGTTGAATACTTCTTTCAAGTTTTAGGCTAATAATGTAAAAAAATAGAAAAACCTAAGACAGTAAGAAGTATTTATATTATTTTTAAGAAAACAGTGTTTTACAATGAACTGTTATAAATACCAGAAGATAAAAAGTCATAGAAACAATAGATATAATTGTTTTTTGTTTTTTTTCACATACAAATTAAATTTTTTTACACTTTTTTCAGAAAATATCTATCAAATTTTATGTTATTTTGGTTCTGTAATTTGTTTGTGTAACTAAAAAAGACCAGTTCAACAGACCTAGTCCCCAGAGTGTTAGATACATACTTCATGGTTAAATTGTTACTTGTTGGACAAGTATTCACAACAACATGAGATTTAAAACTAAAAGAGCTCACTAAACTTGTAAGTAATGTTTTTACTTTTGGTGGGAATGTAGCATGTATCCAATTTGGTGCTTAACTCTTTTCCTTCTATGGGCACATATGAATACATAGTCTTCTAGAGTGCTGCCCTGAACACATACATGTCTCTTCTAGACTACTGCCCATGTACACATGTCATCTTTTAGAGTGCTGCCCTGGGCACATGTATATGTCATCTTGTAGAGCACTACCCTGGATATGCATACATTTTCTTCTTGAACTCTGTCCTGGGTACATATGTGGAACACACTATATAACCTATGTATAGCCTCAAAAAATGTGATGTTAACAATATGTGAGCTTGGTATTTTTGTACCACCATGAAGAAAGGATATTCCTCTCCTAATTTTACAAAGTTGGTCAATTTCTGATTTCAGGTATTTAAAAAAATAAATTGAAAAGGTTTAAAAACACTAGCTAAAAATTAAAAATAAAACCCCAACATATATTAAATTCATCTAAAAATAAACCTAGTAAAGGGATAGCTGTTTATGTATAAATATAGCATGAAACAGTTAAGTGGCTTTGGTACACTACTTGCTAGAGCTTGTTACAGTTTTTGCATGCCAGGACACCTACCATCGAATATTTTTGCACCTTACCAACAAGACAAATGTTCACATGGATTTTTAAGGGTTCATGCAATATACACTTGTAAAACTTTGTTTTTGTAGATGCATGCATCAGATATATTTAACATGCAAGAAGTGCAACTATGTTTCTGTGCTGAAGATTGCTCCATGTGTATGTATTTTCACACATTCTTAGTGTTCAACATTATTTTTTATCAAAATTAATTATACCAGTCAATCAACATATATAATCAAACATGTGTTTTTTTAGTTTAAAAATTATAAATCTTACATTTGAAATATGTACAGACATACATAATGAATAAATCTAACAAGTTAAGAAAAAAAGAGCAAGACGGTCATAATGAATTATTGTTACTAAATTAGCAAGCCAATGAGTTATCTTTTTCTCAATATTTTTATTTACTTAACTAATCCAGAAGACAATAACTTTGGGGCTGTGGGTGCATTATGAAAGTGATGTTCAAATTCTGCTATTCAGTTAGATGGCCAAGAAGTTTGCAGTGAGTGCCATTGATTAACTACCTTCCCTATATCATTTCAAGATTAGAGATGGCTACTGCGAATAATACTTGTGAAATTTTTCATGAATATTTGAAACAAACAAGCATTTACCAAAATGGCTGTAAAATTCTATCACATGACAGTATATTAATCGATAACTATTTATTGGTTAGTATATTTTGACTGAATAAGAGACTTTATCTAGTACATAAATGTTCACTGTACATCTGGTGTGGGATGTTAACAAATATGTAATGTTTATAATATATGCACATAGATTATGAGTCAGCTAAAGTTTGAATTGAATCTTCTTAAAGCTAGCAAATGGTATAGAATCCAAGACACCATACCCAACCAGTGTCAAGAACTTGCATACTTGAAGTATTTTGTTCATAGCAGATTAGTGAGACATCTGCATAGGAAGTTTCAGCATGGCAAACTATATTGATTCTTCCAGGATGCTATGTCTATGTAATTTAACAATGTGAACGTTCATCTTAATCCTTAGGTGGTGTGTTTATGGTGTAAGGGTATGACATTTATATCTATGCGTAGGTGGATCTGGTGTAGTAATCACTATCTGTCCTGATTTTTAAGTTGCTGGAAATCTTGGTGTCATCTTGATTTTTTAAAATGAATAGTTAGTGATTTTACAATATATATGTATCCAGTGCCTCTACCTGTAACATTTATTTTTTCATGAACACATCTATGTTAACCTGTATTTTCAAAAAGGATCTGTATAAAGTAAATTTTTTAAATAATATAGTTTTCCTTATATTTCTGTTACTTAATAGGCATATATTATATCATGTAGGTATCTTGTAGCTAATAGAATTTTGATGAATGTATGTACCAAGCCAGTTCATTAAGTTTTAAGTGTTTTCATCCAAGCAGATGTTGTACAAGCCATTCTAGAAAGTTTTCAGCCAGACTGAATGAGGCTAGTGTAAAAGAAAAGGTTTTTGAGAAATGCACTAAAACCATAAGTGAAAAAGTCAAAAACTAACAGTCAGAAGAAAGCTGAATTTTACATTCTGACTAGGCTGTATCTTAATGCTTGATTATGAATTGTATGCATAATATGCAAGCCAGTAACTTTATTATTATGTAATTCAGTAGGATTTGAACTTCATATATCATTAAGTACAGTTGTAAGCAATG